TCCTCCAAGCCTCCTGCCAGACCAGGAGCTTGGAGCTAAGCGTTTATTAAAAGGAGTCTGTGAAAGAAAAAGAAAGCTAGCTCCCCCCTTCCCCTCTTTCCACGTCCCCCTTTTACTGCGCCTCACGCGCTTGCTCAAGTGGGCTGGTGGAAGTGAATTTTGGTTGTGAAACACACGAGTGAAAGGAAGCAGAGCTTTACTGGGAAGTCTTAATTCGTTAAGGACTGCCAATCCTTCATTGATGTATATGCGTGCGGTCTTCGCCGCTTGCCATCCGCCAGCAACTAAAAGTTTGTCTAAATTTCCGTGCTTACCAAACCAAAAGGTAGCCCCCCCTCTTCTGAGGGAATAGGGCCGAAATTCAAACAATGTGAGCTGCAAAGCATCCAGGCAGGCTTTAAAAAGACGCCGCCATTCATGGTCTTTGGGGCATAGAAAGGTCTTGGGTTTGTTCTTCTCCTTCCATTGCCATAGCCACTTCAACGCTGGGCCAGCCGTAGTGGTCACAGATTCAGCAGCTCCTACTCGCTTTCCCGACTTTGTTAGACCTAGCGAGATCACTGCTACGGATTTGGGTCCCGACATGCTCATGTCATTACTTTTTAGACCCAGGAGCTCGCCAGTGCGAAGCATCCCGTAAAATCCTAGCAGCAGGGAGATACCGAACCCTACGTGCCCATGAAAAAAGCTCCAGCCGACCATAGCGAAAAAAGCGGTCTCAGGGAGGGGTGGAGCCCTTGCCACGTCTTCAACAGCCTCCATGTCTGTGGTAGTTGTCCCCGAAGCTTTGGGTCCAAATCTTGTAGACCCGCGACGGTATCCGAGGCAAGCCCACGGCCCTCTCCCTCGGACCATAAATGCTCAATGTATTCAGACAGAAGAGGATCAAATCTGTCCCGCCGATGTGGAAGCTCAAGGGCATTGTGTGTGTGAGAAAGTCATAGAACTTTGAGCGTGCCAGTGTGTACCGTTGTTGCGTTTTTTCGGAGACTGTTAGACCTCTGAGTGGCCCAAGTGCCTGCCTTTGCCTTTTCCTATCTTCCTTTGTGTGACCTTCAAGAAACCTTTTCCTTACTTGAGCCATTTCTTTCGAACTGGCCTCCGGCTGGGTCGATCAGCCGGATTCTGGGATGTGTGGATGTATCCCCATACGGGGTGAAGGTCACCGGCTAGAAGATAGGAGTTGAGCTGCATGATGATGGGCCTTAACTTTCTGCTTGAACTTCGACCTCTGGCCAAGGAGCGCAGGCGCACCAGGCTGTCCGTTAGATGCAGAAAACGAACACCAACACGCTTGCATCTCCACAGTCTCCACTTTATTGCTGTCAGGATGGCATGCATCTCCAGGGCACTGATGTGTTCGCCCGAGTGCTTCCAGTGCCATCCCGTCATCCATAACCGACCTGGTACGCTGGCACGTAGTCGAAAATACCTAGGGGCAGGGTCACTGCTGCTCTGCACCATGATGTCCTCACCCTTCATGGACCCTAATCCTAAGAACGCGACGAATCAGGAGCTGCCTGCTGTCTCCCGCGCAAAGGTGGCCTCATGAGCATACTGGCAAAGTTTGAACTCCTTCCGGGCGTTAGTTCATCGACAATGCGTTGAACTCCTGTGACCTTGCCTAGTCCTAGGGGATTAACCAACTGGCTAATCAACCACGCAACGACTCCAACGCTCCAACTGTTTCCCAGTAGTGTAAGGCGCTGGTCCTCATATTGGCTGCCACGCTGTTCTTGTTTGGGAACGCAGTTTTTTGTGAACCTACTGGGAATCCAAGACAGACCTCCCTCTCCTGAGAGTCAGGGAGACGTCCCTCCCCACGTTTGCTCCATAGGATGTTACAGTCCTTGTATTGGTAAGGAGGGAACCTGTACATGTCCCTCTCCCACCTGTTCACCTCATGCTTCTGACACCCTTCCAACCCCGCAGGCCTCTTCCCAGGGGCCCCGAGGCCTTGACATCGTGAAGGTGGGTAGACAAGCTTGGTCTCGAAGGCTCCATCCTGGGTGCAAATAGTGCTTACTCTCTACCACTGCGGATAGGAGCACCTGCCCATGGTTCTCCCACTGTGACATGTCAGGAGCGGTCACCTTTGCTCCCTCTTCATCATGAAGTTCCCAGCTCACCCAATACAGCCTCGGCCTGGAACACAGGGAAATCCCTTTGGCGTCAATCCTAAAGGGCAGTCTGTCAAACCTCTTGCTCATGTGACTCCTGTCAATACCCGACATTGACGCGACATTTTCGACCAACTCATGCACCTGTGACCATGGAAAGTGAGTCCTGAACAAATCGGTGATCCGGGGAACCTCCTGGAACAAGCAGCTTCTCTTATCTCTCAATGCCCCCTTCTTGTCGGCGTTGAGTCCGCTAACTCCCTGGCAGGGAGGTCCAGCTCCCACCACGATCAAACCCACGTTGCTATACTTAAGGGCCAGGAGACGAACCTGCTCTCCCATAAACGTGGTGACATCCTCAAAAAAGTCTGTCTCGGGGAAAAAGCACCCTACGGCATTGGGGGTTTTGCTCCACGCTCACATGTCCGGCCATGGGGAGTCCCAGGACGTCGCACGCCACCCGCAGTGCGCCAATCCCGTCAAACAGCCCTACCGACAGCACTTGCACTAGGTCATGTTCCTCTGCGGGGTCACCCCTGGCCGTGCAGTTTAATGCTGCGTTGCCATACTCGCTCAACCCCCGGGATGCGCACACCCCACCTCCTAGGGTCGACGCGTCGGAACAGGTGACCTCCCCATCCACCATCGCTCGGAAATCCATTTGCGCCAAGGGACAGAGAAGGATGAATCGTGCAATCTCGACCTTCACCTGATACGGCAGGCTCAAGCGAACGACTGGTGGTTCCCCGTCAAATTTCTGCATGTGCTCAAAGACCGCGTTCAAGGAACAAAGCAGCGCTCTACGGAACATAGCCACATAGACAAAGCCCCCGCAAACAATCTGCAATTCCTTGAGTGTGGATTGCCCTTGATGAATAAGTTCCCAACCTAGCTTGCAGTACTGTATTACCTTCCCAGGTTTGGGCATGGCAAAGCCCAACTCCCCATCCAGGAGCGCACCCTGCATCTCCCCTTTTAGTGTTCGTTCAACTGCTTTCTTGGGATGACGAGGCAGACCGTGCTGCTCATATGAGTCTCGTAGGTTGGCTACCTGGTCTGAAACAGTACCCTTGATCGACTCAGCAAGCGCCCCATCAACCCTTTCCAGAGTATCAAAGTTGTCAAGATAAACCCTGTACATACTAGAACAACTAGGCATTCCCTTGTCTTTCCGGAGCTCTCCCTCACCGCCCTGTCACAGATCTTTGGCAAGACCGGCATGGACAGCGACGCAAGCATCAGGAGGCGCTTCAAGAAGAAGGCCAAGAGGTTGTCGAAGCGAGGAAAGAGCAAGAAGGAAAGCGACAGCTCGTCCTCGGGGAGCACAGACAGCTCCTCATCGATGGATGTTCAGGAGGATGCCATCACAGGGCTATTTGCAGAGCAAACAGCAGTACAGAGGATGTGGCATCGGTTTCCAGGTGTCTTGACGGCTCAGCTGCTGCAGGATATACAAAGGACAATGCTTTTGCAATTGGGCAGTATGAATGCATCACCGGACCAGCTGACCCCCATAGTGAGCCAGTACGTGAGACAGCACTTGTCGACGATGATGAGTCCTGTGGTGTTTCGAGAAGCAGCTCATTGGGGCGCTTGTCTGGATTGCATGATTCAAGGCCGGACGGCCGCAGTGGTGGACATCATGAGCCAGCGGCTGAAGGCTCTAGAGAGCCTGTCGAAGGGCATGGCCGTCGGGCTGATCAAGCAGCTCGAGCTGATCCAGGTCGACGGACCGGGATTGGCCAGCAGCAGCGAACTGCAACAGGCGGGACGCAGCGCCTACGAGGAGCAGAAGGTGATGGCCAAGGCAACGGGCAAGACCTACGAGGCTCGGGACAAAGGCAAGAGCAAGGAGAAGGGCAAGGGCGATCGAGAAGGCAAGGACAAGGACAGAGAAAAGGGCAAGAAGGACAAGGGGGACAACAAGAAAAAGGGCTGAGTGAAAAGGGGACGGGAGTAGAGGAGACTCCTGAATCTATGAAAGGCAGCACAGCGGGAGTGGATGAGGCTCCTGGACAACTTTCTCGAGCTCCTGGTGGCAGGGAGCTTGAGATCAAAGAATTCAAAATGGATGAAGAGGTGGACGCTGGTAAGGGCGAATCACCCCGTCTGACTATGCATGAGGTCATCAAGAAGTCAGTGAGCGTGTTGAGGAAGGACTCCAAAGTTACAATGCGCTCCAACACGGAGAGACTTGCCGGGTGCCTCAACCCAATTTTCCCGCTGAAGAAGATTTGGGAGGAGGATCTTGAGCAGGTCACTCCCCGCTCACTGGCTTTCGATGCTGCTGCAGGGGTGTTCACTGCCCTGAATCATTTGGCTGGATTCGGAAGTCCTACACCGCATGTGGCAGATGAGCCATTCTCCAGTACGATGACCAGACCATCAGATACCTACGTGCGGGCGATCGCAGAGAAAAATGTCGTTCGCTTAGCGCTTCGAAACCCGGTGTGGATGGAGGAAGAGAAAGATTTTTGTTTCACTTCTTTTTTCAAGCAGAGAAACGTTGATTACTCAGGGGAGGTGATCAGGACTGCCCAGAAATTGTGCTGGGCGGGAGTTAGAGAGTCTTTGCCTAATGGGGTAGGATCTCTTAGCCTGGAGTCATTTTGTCGTCTGGGGACCCTCAACTACGTGTTAGACTTCGAGGAGTACCTGATCCCCGTGCAGGAACGACAGTATGTAAAGCCACCAAAAATGATGGTTCAGGATGGTCAATGGGAGCTTTTGGTTGAGGGACTGGTCAACAAGGGAGTGTGCGAGATCATGGCCTTGGGCGATATATATCATCTGGACAACAAGCCTGTTCTTAATGGACTTTTTGCAGTAGGCAAAGGTGAATTGCAGGGAGAGCTGGAGACACAACGCCTGATCATGAGCCTCACCCCAGTCAACGCCTTGCGTCGAAGTCTCGCGGGAGATGTGAGCACGCTCCCGGCTCTGGCGGGGATGAACGGCTATCTACTGGAGGAGGGCGAGGTGCTTCTTCTATCCAGTGAAGATATTAGGTGTTTCTTTTACCTAATTGCCGTGCCAAAGTCATGGAAACGTTTCCTGGGCTTCAACCGTTTAGTTCCAAAACATCTGATCCCACCTCATCTGGCCAACCGAGACTGCGTGATGGTCTCTAGAGTAGTACCCATGGGGTTTATTAACTCTGTGTCCATTGCACAACACGTTCACCGCAATGTGGTGCGCTGGTCGGCCCAGCAGTCGGAGCCTCCTATTGGCGGCTTGATGGCTTCGATCTTCAACTTGTCCTTCTTCTTTTTCTTCTTCTTCTTTTTCTTCATCTTGGATTCTCCCGAAGTGCCAGGAGAACTCGACCTGTCTTTCTTTGGCTTCTCCTTGACTGCTCCCACGCCTTTTCCTCGGCTGGCCGCTTCCTTCCTCACTCTCTCTAAATCGTCCCTCTCCTTCTCCACCGGCGCGACCTCCAAGTTGCGCTCCCAAGGCACGTCGCCTGGGAGGTGCTGGCATACCTTCGAGCAATGAATCAACCCATCTTCCCACACTTGTCTGTCGCAAGCCGGTCCGCAGAGATGTGCACGGACCTGCTTGGTACTGAGGCCGCTGACATACTTGAGCATGTTCTCGTTCGTTGTGCCCATCGCCCGTAAGGAGACCTCCCGGTCTCCCCGACTGCTCCTGACCTCCTGGTACTCGCCCAAGGTTGATGGCATCTGACCAGTACTCTCCCTGGAGGCGTAGCATCCCCCAGTTCTCCAGGTCCTCGACACTCACCCCGTTGCTGTTTTTCCACTTGTCGATCAGAGCTGCAGGTCTCCTCATGCGACGGGCGCCCTCCCCCGCCGCTCCTCTCCTCCTCCTTGGAGCCATGCCTACCGCTGGCCCTGGCTGGCCCTGATCCGCCGCCAGTACTCGCGGTTCCTTTCTCTCTTCTTTGCCCCCTTAGACTTTCGGGGCTTCCTTCGCCTCGGCCCAGGATCGACTCCTGCCCTGGTCCACCCTGGTGGCGGGACAGGCGGCTCCCGGCCTCTCGAAGCTTCTCTCCTCTTCCTCACTGTAATGCTCCGGCTCCTCACTCTCGGACCCTCTCCCGGCCGCCTCTGGGTCCCGAGGGATGGGGCGTCTGGGCAATGACTTGGGTGCCAGACCGCCTGGACTTGGGCTCTTCTCCTCTCCTCGGGCTGGGGATGCCTCAACTGGCTTAGACTTCTTTTCCTTCTTCGACTCCTTCCTCTTCTTGTGCTTCTTCTTCTCTCCGTGGGCTGAGGGACTTCTCTCGCTCTTCTCTTCTCTCGACTGTTTCTCCTCCTCCTCCTCGGAAGCGGGCTGTTGAACGTCCTTCTCGATGTCCTGGTCGTCCTTCTTCAGCCGCTTTGCCGGCCTAGGCAGTGGTGGCAGCACCGCCTTGGCCTCTCCAGGAGCAACTCCGGCTCCTCACCGTCTCCCGATTTTCCAGGAGACCCACCCACTCCCGACTCGCCAGGAGCAGGCACCTCAACACTCACCTGTGAGCTCGGCCGGGGAGAGACCTCGAGCAGCTGCAAGTAGCACCTGTCCAAGATCACCTCACCCTGCGCCCTCAGCTCCGGGCTTGTACCGGTGTGGTACAGGAGCTTGAAGACCCTTTCAAAGGATCTACAGCACCCGCAGTCACACCTGCCTGGATTGTGGACCAGGCTGGTAGTGGCCATACGCTGAGAGCCAGAACACTACATGAAAAACGTCGTTTCGTTCGTTTTTACCTGCGAATCGAGAGACCATATATGAATATGTACATATAATATATATATATATATACTGTATGCCGCTCTAAGCTCTTGGCGAGCGAGAGCGCCTAGACCGGGAGCGTCTGGACCGGGAGCGTCTAGATCGGGAGCGTCTGGGAGAGCGGCGACCCTCAGATGAAGAGGTCGGTTCAATTTTCAGTTGTATATATATATATATCTGTGTGTGTGTGTGCGTTACATTTATGCCAATCATTTCTGGATCAATGCAATGTAGGTTTGATTCTTGACTGTAGCTCAGGGACTGCTTTGCGCCCCTCATCGCCATCCCCTTTGCGCTCCTTCACATGCGGTCCAATCTTCTGAATACACCCAAGTAAGTGAAAATCAATTCATTTAGGAAGTCTTCAGTCGAGATAGTCCTCCTTTCTGCGCTCTCGACTCCGACTGTGCCCTCTGCCTGCAAAGCATGCCAAGCGCTCCTTCACAAACACATCCCCAAGTTGACGAAAAATGTTGTCGACCTCGTGAGCTCGACTTTGGCCGTAGTGTCGTTGTACTTTGATTGTCCTTGGAGTGACTTTTCAGATCTGAGACTTCAAAAATTGTGCACATGAGGACGCGACCCAGCCACCTAAACGCCTGGCATTGGCTGGAGTCACTGACACGCTTGAAACGCTGGTTCACTTCCTCGTGCGTTGTCAGAATCAATCGCGCTCTCAGGAAAGTACTTGGAGTGACGCCAGCTCTCTGGCTGACCAGCACCTGTCGGATGGGATTCTGGCATGGAACGTCTCCAGTGGAAACATCTCTCTAGCAGGTAGTTTTTTGAACTTATCACAACTTTATCTCTTGCGTCTTACGTTACTTGGATGATGTGGATTCAACCACATGCCATCAAGACCACCTTGGCCTTTCTCTGCTGCAAATGACCTTAACAGTAAAATGGTCTGGATCCAAACTTCAACTTCTGGGCTGTACTACGCATATGCACTTGCCACACCACCAAGGCCACGACGCCTCAGACTCATTAGGCCTAGGCCTGAGCCACGCTTCGCATTTCTCAAAGTCTTACACCTTTCACTTAGCCGAGTGTCAAACAGCACACTTTCAGAAGGATTCGCAGGACTAGGATCGCTGCGTTTCTAGCTCGCTGGGCTTTGCAGTTCTTGCTCCTATAGGCCTCCATGCGTTGGCAAAGCCAGCCAGTTCACTTGCTCACGCTACTCATAGAACCACCAAGTGCGTGACAGCGCAGACTCTTTTGGCCTCAGTAATGCACATCCAATACCCCATCCACGCACATGCATATACAGCACATGCGGTATAAGCCGATTCTAAGCCACCAATAGTAGCAAGAAGCTACTGCTAGCAGGTTGGAGGCCATCGCTCTTAGAAACAAAGAAAGAAGGAGAGAAACAAGGCTTGAAGAAAGGTCTACTATGTTCTACCTGGAAGAGAAAATTCTCAGCCTTTGAGATCCTTGCACTTCGAGCTCGCTTAGCTTCGAGTTGCGGGCTCCTATAGGCCTGGGGGCTGGTGAAGCACATCATATCACTCACTTCGACTAAACTGAGCACGTGACAGTTCAGGATCCTGTGGCCTCAGTTTGACACATCTCCATTTCATGGAATGGATGTCACAAAGCTCTGCATGCTCTGTACAGTTTGCCCTCTTCACCTTCCAACCCTCGAGCTCCCAATCCAATCTGCTTAAGGTGATTGCTTCTCGAGATCCTCTGACTTTGTGAGTTTAGCGCCGATAGGCCTCCACATCAAGAAAAAGCAGCTTGCGTGCTTTGTCTGACGGTGTTGCGCACCTCGATGCATCACCGAGTTTGGAGTCGATCACCTGGTCCGACCTGAACATCTTGTCACTCGAGCCAACAAGAGTGGGTGCATAGGGATAACTGTCTGAATCTCCCCGGGCCTGCCTTTCGCAGTCGGACAACAACTGATGAGCACCAAGAAAACTAAAAAAAGATAAACTGAGATTACAGCCCATCATTGAGCCTTAGCTTCAGAAACTATTGAATTTATGAAATCACGCGCTGCAGTATGTTGTCCAGGTGGCTGCTGCGGCTCATCATGAGTGGCAGCATGCCTGTGCGAAGCAGCCATGTTTGAAGCAAAGCACCTCCAAAGAAAGGACTTCTTGGACGTGTCATTCACACTCCCAGCCCCAAGATCTCAGATCGCAGCTCCATCGGTATTGATTGAGGTACACATGTGGGCTAAAATTCTCACTACATTGCTCGAGCAATTCCGGCTACAAAATCTAAACAGCTGTTCAACGAATGAGGACCTTGGCAATCACTGCCGTCATCCAAGTCAACCCCCTTGGGACAACTTGGAAACAAAATACAAAAGCCTGGTCGACTTTTGGCTGCACATCCTCGGTCGAAATCAATGGAAATACATTCAGGAGGCTCTTGAATGCATTTTGGCGTCTTCTCTTGTGATTCTAGAGAGCTGCCATGGCATTTCTCGTGCATCGGACGCCAGAGAAAATAGTTTCCACGAAGGCGTGAATTCTTTCACGGTGAAAGGTTCGGCAAATGAAAAAGCAACTTCCAGCAGTACCTGGGGATTGATAAGCCATTAAGTCGACAGTAATTTGCTGCCTGACACCGTGATGCACCTGGAAGCAAATGTCACTTTCTGACACAAGTAGCCTGGCTCCAACTTTGCTGCAGCCAGGACGTGCATGCACGAGCCCCCACGAAACAAGGGGGCACCTGTGAAGCCAGCTAGCATCAAGGGAATGGCCTCCACCACCACCAGCAGCCACAACAAGCACAGTAATCGACAAGCACGGGTCGAGTCACGACACTGCCATCATCAAATATCTCTCCGACCAAAAAGCCTTGCTCCCTGCCATCACATGACCAACCACCACCACCTCCAACAAGCCAGTTGTTCTTGGGAGCAATTGAGGTCGTCGATGTCTGATCTACGTTGTGCCGGTGACCTCCGAAGTATTCCACGTGTCTCTCAAGGCCTCCCGGCCTTTTCGCTCCAGACAGGTTGCCAATGACATCTGGATAGGCCCAAAAATAGTCCGTGGGATAATGGGAAAACACCAAGAGGTTGGAGGCATTGCTCATCTCCATCCTGCTGTAAAAGAGTTCCCATGCTGCGTCTGTCCTTTCCGCAATGACTGTTGCGCACTCCTCTTTGCAAAGAGAGTGGCGGCAAGTGTGTTCCTCCCACAGGTCGTTCAAGTCCAACGCCAAAACCTCTAGATCCAAATCCTCGTGCTCAATAAACCAAGAGAAGCCAGGCATGAAGAAATGATCTAGATCCTTCATGTCATAATTGATCTGCGCAGCATACTGCTCATCATTGGAGCAGGTGCCATTGTCTGCTAACATGTCATGATTTCCATAGACGCTGTACCAGGGAACGCTCCGCAGCTCTGCCGAGTATACTTGCCGCCATTTGGAATCCCACTGCTCGTCATCTTCACTGGTCACACCAGTTGGATAGAAAGAGTCGCCCACATTGATCACAAACTTTACATCCTCAAGCTCTGCAAAAGTCGCATGCATCTGATCCGCAATCAGATTCTGGCAGTGTCGAGACTGAATGTTGCCATGTGCAACTTCGTCCCACCCCCAGTCGCCAATGACTAGAAAGGATGCAAGGCGTGTGGTCTCAGGTTCTGGCTCTGCACGGCCCAGACAGGCAATCGCCACAAGGCAAGCCCACATTGTCATGGACTTGGGCCAGGCTTTCAGTTGGACTTTTTTTTTGTGTGTGGGACAACTGACAACTTATATATATATATAACAGAACTCAAAGTCGACTGCGATTTTGTCAAACCTGACAGCTCGGCGCAAATTACTTTAATATTTTGTTATGAGACTGCACGCACCGGTCGAACATCTCCTCTTCTTGTTGCAGAAGAAGTGTAGAAAAACAGAAATGTGGACAAACGAACAAATCCAGATTTGGATTTGACTAAACGGCTTCACCGAGAAGGGGCGCTGTAGCTTTTGGCGACACTCTCAGTAAAGCAAAGGGCGAAAGGCTCGGAACATCTTTTGCTATGTTGTGGCCCAATGTGTCAGAACTGGGAACTTGAACATGGTTGTAGGGTATCCCAAGCCCATCAAGCCATCAAATTGCCCGCACTTTGTGCAGGCGTGACGGTGTTTGAACTTGGGCTGGCTAGCGGCTAGCCATGTAAAGTGGTGAAAGCAGCATCAAAGTTTATCCAAAGACAATTGAATCAAAGTCTCTCGACAAAGTTGGTCTATGTCCAAGCGGCTTGGGTACACCACATATCTTTGATCAAGCAATTGCTGGAAGACTCCGGTATGCACTGACATAAAATATTTTGTATAGTTGTACATGACAGGGTTTCGGCGATCTCCACTTCAAATGACAAATGCACAGAAACAGGATCTCCCAAATCAGAGCTGGCTCGGAAAACGCCGAACTTTGCAGCGAGCTTCCCGTCAATTCGCACAAAATCCCCTCACTCTGTCAAGTCTTCTGCACCTCGCAGTTATAACTTATAACAGGTCTTCCTGCCGCTCCGGCCTTCTTGATTTTCATTGAGCCCTCTGCCTTCCAAATCCTCTGAAACAGCGTGTGGCAAAAGGAGAGGCCTCGCATGTCCAAAGCAGAACCAAGACACTGTAAGCACGCAAATGCTCGAAACAAAAATGCGGGAACAAGAAGGGGAAACCCGCGAAGACAATCATGTTCCTGCTCCGCCTAGGAGTCTGCTCGTGTTCCCTTCGCAGCTGCCGGCTCTGTTTCCAATAATGTCCGAAGAAAACCTTGGCAAAGCGCTCACCGCAAGAAAGGTCTCCATGTCTTCTCATTAGTTTAAACTGTAAACTACAAAACTGCACGCAAGCTTTGAAAAGAAACTGATGTTGGCCCCCAACCACTGCCAAAGAGGAGGCGGCAGCAACCTGCAGATCGCAGCAAATCCATCTAGGGGGTGAATTCTTGACACTCCTGCAGTCAAGAAAAATAGAGTAGCAAGAGTCAACGAGCGCAGATTCGCACCATAACACCAGCAACGAGAAGGAAGCCGCTAGTGGCCTGAAATGAATGGAGCTTCTGCAAAAAACCTTGAACCGCAACTTTTCAGCAGTGATTCAGACTGCCACATTTCCAGTGTAGGAAACCTCCGGCACGTTGGAATCGATCCTGTCCGTTCAGGGAGTTCTGGGCTATTGAGTTGCAACATCACTACTCCCTTAGTTGCCGGGGGAGGGGTTCAAAAATGTAACTTACAATTTTGGGTGTGTCAAAATGCAGGTTTTGGACAACGGTGATTTTTGAACATACAGGTCTAAAATACCTCCATCTGACAAGACAGGGGTCAAAATTGTAAGTTATATTTTTGACCCGCATGTGTTTGTTGAGCCTGTCATTTTTGAGGGTCAGGTGGATGCATGCCCCCTGACCCTGCTCTGTGGGGTACCTGCCCATCCATTCTTACAATGTTGAGCCCCCCCGCCCCCTGCTTTCAAAGTCTCAAGACGTAGGCCAAGACCTCTTTGAGGGGGGAGGTTCAAAAAGTAAGATCCCCATATAGGCTACCTCAACCTTAGATCTAACGATTTTCACCCGCCCCTATAGGGCTATATAATGCTATCATCCTAAAATCCAAAATTGTAAGTTACAAATTTGACCCCCCCGGGGGGTGTCAGGCACCGCAAGCAGGTAGTGATGTTGCAACTTTTCACGTGAGCCAGTGGCTATGAGGAGCCGGGTCTTCATGTGTCATGCTCCTGCCTCTTCACATACTCCACTTTGCAGTCCAGCTTGCCACCAATGTAGTCCTTCCCAAGGGCCTGAGAAACGCTTTAGACAGCTTCTGCAAGATGATCTGTTACAGGCGCGCCTTTTCAAAGAGGGTATCCGATGGCGGGCAGTGGCAAGTGCTCAAAGGTACCTGGCGGTAAAGCGTGGAGAAGTGTGAAGTGGTCCTGGAGGGCCAAGCTCCACCAATGGTGGAAACACGTGCAGGATCACATAGTAGTTGAAGTAAGCAGCTTCAGGAAACTTTTCGCAATGTGCCTCACCCAAGGATCGGTGTGGCTCTTGCCCAGTGGCATCCAAAGAAGAAGCTTGACGAACTGTATCTAAGGAGCTCAAAAACTGACAATATTTCAGCCGCCCCGCCCTGCAAGCTGCACTGGAGGTCTGCTGCACTGGCAGGTGGCCTACAAAGTCCAACCTAAGCAAAGTTTGATTGACCTAAGCAGAGTTCAAAACATTTAAACTGCCAAATCTTCCTGAACCTTGCTTCAAGAGATATCAAGCGCTCAGCATGGAGAAGGTCCTGCCAATCTGGCCACAGTCGTGCTCCTTCAGACTTGTGACAGTGTGCCTGAAACCGAACCCTAGGTTGACTTACTCCAGACCATCCTCCAAATACAATATATTCTCTATTGTTCTTGCTAGTCTGGCTTTCACCGGCTTTCACCCCGCTCGCTCGCTCTCTCCGTCCCTCCGTCCCTCCGTCCCTCCGTCCCTCCATCCTCCATCCCTCCGTCCCTCCCTCCCTCCCTCTGTCTCTCTCTCCCTCGCGCTCTCTCTCTCTCTCTCCCCCGCTCTCTCTCTCTCTCTCTCTCTCTCTCTTGTAGGCTGCTCGTTTCAGTACAGGCTGCATTGCTGGTGGTGTCTGGTGGAGGAGCTACTGTTAGGGTAGTCTTGCCTTTGTTCAAGTAGCTCTCTTTGATTTTGAATGTAGTCTCTCCCGTCCAGTGTTCTCCAGGTAGTACCTCTCGAAATCTCCGCGCTTCAACATTTGGGTACTCATCAGTGTAGTGTTGTTCTGCTTGTCCTGGTCGTCGAACTGTAGTCTGTCTCCATGATTCAAGTTCTGTGATAGGAACTGGACAGTTTGCAGACTCCTGTGTGAATTTTGCTCTTCTCTTCCTCCTGTGTACTCTGACAACGTAGTTGTCTCGTAGTTGCCAGAAATCCGTGTTGTAGCCTGTTGCGGTGAGAGATGTAGGTGCAATCAACGCTGCGTAGTCTCCATTCTCCTTGATCACTTGGATCTTCACGCAGTAGTAGTCGAAAGGTTGTTGTTCCGCTTCCAGGTAGAAAAGATCTGGAATCGAAGTAGTCCTGCATTGAAGTCATGTCGATGTAGTGACGGACTGTCCGGTGTCAGATTCAGAGTGTATCCTCTATCAAGTAGTCTGGTCACTGACAAGCTGAGATACTTCACGGTGACTTCACGTCACACACATAGAAAGGTATCACCAAGTGTTGGCCATTACACTTGTAGTGAA